GGACGGCATGTTTGAGAAATGGTTTGACAAGATCAGCCAGGCCTCGGTGGAGGACAAGAGAAAGGTACGTATAGCAAATAAAGTTTCTGCAATACCACAAAAGCAATAAACAAATTCAATACCACAAAAGACCAAATAATTTAGACAATTTTATAAAATGTTGGATAAATAAGAACAAAAGCCACCTTCTAGGTGGAGGTATAGGATTGATATTTATTCATGTCATGCTTTTTGACCATGTTACTTTTGAACCTTCTTACTTTGTTTAATCCTCAAACACAAGCAAATGTCAGCACCACGTTAATGCCTAATAACCATGAGATCCTAAGCTCACTTTGTTCAGGCAGAGTAAATATTTGAATTGACTTTAGTTCCAGAATGTGAAATTGATTGTTAACTGTGTGCTGGGTTTTTCTTTTCTGAGAAAGCATAGCCATATTTTACAAAGTTGTGTGGGTTGAATCCAGATGTCGCATTTTAGTAATCAAATTAATAGAAGACAACTTACTTATTTCTCAACCCTAGTGTGTTGTTGGGGATGTTTTCATTCACTCTGGGGTGATTTTGAGTTTTCATTTGGCCACAACATTCTTTGTTCTGCAGAAAATGGAATGTTTTTTGGTGACAAATCATTTTGGCAATTTGGCAATCAATTTTGGCACATATTTTAGGAAAATGCATTGAACATTTCAAAATTCAGTAATACACTCTGGGCAAATTTACTATACTTTCATTATGTTTGTGGCTGTTTTTGCCCCATTGACCATCATTATGTTTTTTGATCGCAAAGCCATCACATCATGTAATCACAATCATTGTTGCTGCATTTCACTGATGAGAACAGTTTACATTTTTTTTAATTTTTAATGTTGATCATCAGTTGCAGTGCAAAATAGCAGAGTTTCTGCCTTCTATGTGGAGTATTGTGTGTGTGAGTGTGAGAGAGACATTTCGTCACTTTACAATTATAAGGTTCTATCTGACATTTTTGTCAAAATTGAGTTATTGATATATTCTTATTAAATGACAACTTATTTACATTATGGGATGTTTTTTTTAAGTTGTTTAAATTTTAAGGCTTTTTATTTAAGAATAAATATTACACATTGTTTGTTATGGAATGCAAAAACTTTGAAGCTCAAAATCTCAAAATCATTCAGAACACAGATAGAACCTTATAATTTCAAGGTTGCGATTTGCGCACTTGTCTTAAAATGTTTAAGAAAATCAAAATAAGCAGCTTAGCTCTCAGAGCATAGTAAACATTGTAAGTGTATTTATGTACATGCACTATAATCTCATGTTATACCCGTAACACTCCATATAAAAGCCGGAAACTTTTTTTTTTGCACTAACCTATCTGAAGGGTTAATGCTGCCAACAGATGATCACTTGTAAAAAATTACACATTTTACCTCTTCCCAGCAGGGAAAACCACCAACAACCAAGAATTTGTGATTATATGCTGTCATGGCTTTTCAAACAAAAAACGTCATTATAATGGAAGTGGGTCAAAAACAGCCACGAACATAACGAAAGGGTAGTCAATTTGAACTGTAGACAAGGGTTAAAAACCTGTGCTTATTAAAATACAAAAAATAATTGATTTTTAAGAAGTGATTTTTTTTTTATTGGTGCTCATTTGTGGCTTTTTAGATGCACATGTTCATTGCACGCTACTGTGACCTGCTGAATGTGGAAATTTCGTGTGACGGCTGTGAGCGGATCGCACCGTGGCATCGCTATCGCTGTCTACAGTGTACAGACATGGACCTTTGCAAGACCTGCTTCCTCAGTGAGTCACACCATCACAGATGGCCATGACTTTAACTCTATCTACATCACAATGAAGCATTATTTCTCTTTATGTATTACATTAGACGATAAATAATTCATTTATAGCTGAAGTTCATTTCCTACACATTTTTGCTTGGGTGGAGTGTGTGTTTTTGAACAGTTCTGTTCTCCTTATTCAGGCGGTGCAAAACCCGAAGGCCACGAGGATGACCATGAGATGGTGAACATGGAGTATGCCTGTGACCACTGCCAGGGCCTCATCGTGGGCAGCAGGATCAACTGTAATGTATGTGAGGACTTCGATCTCTGCTTTGGCTGTTACAATGCCAAGAAATACCCAGACAGGTAATACACACAAAAAATGAAAACATACTTCTGGCAGACTTTGAATTTTAGAATAATCTTGTTTATTATTATTTTAAACCAGAAATACTGGGTTTGTCTTTATGCAGATATTTAGATTTACAAAATTTAAGTGCTAATGTCAACCAGTTCACTCAAATTGAGTTTAATTGTTCAACCAAGCCAAGTTAAGAAGCAACATGCCATTGTGAATGGATGCATTAGGGCTGAACACTATATCCTTAGGGCATGGATATCACAATATATGCATCTCTACAATAGTCACATCGCAGGATTAGATTAGATAAAGATATTATTATATATTTTTTTATTTATTTTTAAATAAATATATATATATCACAGCAAAACCAAATATCACAATGTCAGATTTGTCCAACATTGTGCAGCCCTAGAATGCATTGTTTATAAATACTAATATTTAAAGTTACGTCTTTGATCATCGACACTCATCCCACTGTTTAGAGCAAGCAACATTTTCAACAAAACATCTGGAAATTCTTTTTCTGGAAATCTGGAAATATTTTTAAAGTTCAAAGTAATTAAATATGTTGTGTAAATTCGAAGAAGAAGAAAAAAAGCACAGAGGTCTAAAATAATGTTCAGAGACAAAGAATTAAACAGACTAATCATTATTAAATAATAGTAAAGGAGAACAAAAATTTTGATCAATTTTAAAATATTTGTTTTGTGTGTTTATCAGGGTATTGGCAGGGTCTTATAATTCCTTAAATCTCAAAAGCTAAATTTTAGGCATTTAAAAGTCTTAAATCTACTGAAATGTTGTGTTATAGGTCTTAAATCTTTTTAACAGGTCTTAATTTTCTTTTGTTCATGTATAGCTACCCAATCTAGCCATTAACACCCATGCAATCGCCAACAATCTATTTCAGTCAAACTTTTAACTTTTTATTTTGAAATTGCATTTAATTACTTTCCTCACATTAACATTTGCTTAAAGGTTCTCCATTTATTTACTGCTGCGGCTACTGACCTGACCTACATAAAATTTTTATTAATGTAGACTGAAGTAATTTAAAGCCATATTTTGTTCTATATTTAGTAAGGGTTATAGGGTTTGTGAATGGATATATTTGGAAATGAAAAAAATTCAAGCTAAATTATTATTATTGTATTATTAAATTTTAATATTTTTGATAAATTTAGTAAAAATATTTTTTTATTGGGATATTCAAAACAAATTTTTAGCATTTAGCCCTGTATAAGTCTAAAATTGATTTTATAATGGTCTTGAAAATGTCTTAAAAAGTCTTAGATTTAACTTGGTGAAACCTGCAGAAACCTTGATATAAATAAGGACACTTGCCAAAGCATACAAAACAGATTTAGTTTGTGTCTACTATAATTTATGATGAAAATGTCTAGTAGTTTTGTTGCTTAAAAAACTCCCTAGAACAAAAGTAACTGTAAAAAGTAAACAACTCATTTACACATGATTTTGATGCTTGAAACCCCCTTTTATTAATTTATTAATAATAAACATCATGTTCATTGATTTTTTTTTTCTTTCTCTGTGTCTCCAGCCATTTACCCACCCACCGCATCACTGTATACCCAATGGTCACCATCCGCATCAGTGACCGCCACAGACTCATCCAGCCCTACATCCATAACTACTCCTGGCTTCTTTTTGCCGCTCTCGCCCTGTTCACCTCTGAGCTGATCAGCGAGAAAGCACAGGATGGAGAGTCTCTGGATGATGTCACCCTGGGTAATGCTAGTGCTCTGCAGACCCAGTGCTTCGACATCATCAAAGAGTGCCTGCTGAAGGGACAGACTGGGAAAGGTAATCAACACATTTGTATAGGAAGTCAATGAGGGCATTTACAGGAATGTGCTTAAAGAGTTAGTTCACCCAAATAATGAAAATGTGAACTGGAACTGAGCATGTGAACTGGGACATTAGGTTATTCAATAAATTGATTTTTATCACGTAAGCATCCTCAGTAATGTCGCAGTTAAAGAGATGTGCCATTATTGCGTTAAGTCCTGCATGCTGTTGTTTTCTGTAGGTTTGCGAGCCTCTGCTCTGTTGTCTCTGCTTTCTTCAAACGAATCGGCCACAGTGAGTGAGCTCTGTCCTGCGACGGCAGGTTCATCTCAGGACATCAGCAGCACAGACACCTCTTCACTACCCAGCAGCACAACAGCCATCTGCTCGCCTCCACTGCCCAGAGACAGAGTCAGTCACTGCACAAACAAACATTACTAATACATCCCTTGACTGCAGTCAGAAAAAGTGTGCTTGGCCTTAAAGGTCTATGTATAAAGATTCATAAATATCCTTCTCAAAAAATAATCTCTCTTTAGGGAGGAGGAGAAGGTGATGAGAAGAGGAGAAGAAAGCTGGTCTCTCAGGACACCTCAGACTCATCCTGTGCTAGTCAGACTCCCTCAGTGTCAAGTGAAGACACACTGTCCCCTGGAGTCAGAGGTGAGCTCTCTTATTTTTCTGTAAATGGATGGTTCACATAAAAATGAGGATGCTTTTAAAGGTGCTGTACGTAAGATTTTGACTCTTCTAAAGCATAAAAATACCATAATATATTTGGAGATATTTAAGAAACATGCTAGCTAAGTGAACATTCTTGTTTATCTGAAAAACAATGCTGAAGTCCAATATTCTGCTTTAAAAATGTGTTTTCCTTGCTGGAATGTCTGTCTTTGTTTTGGTTAGTTTAACCTGCCCACTGCCAGTTTAGCCAATTATATTCCAGCACCCGGGGTTGCCTTTGTGGGAAAACCGCTTATGTCATTCGTTCATTCATTCATTCATCATTCATTTAGAAAGGCTCTCATAGCATGTGTCCATGACTGAAATGCGACCTTCGATGGACAGTAGCAGACTCCGAAATGAGACGCAGATTCAAAGTTCCACATAAGGTTATAAATTAGCAATTGATAAAAAAATATTATGAGTGTAAACATTAGGTAAGCAGGTTACATTGTAACCCTGTATCCTAACAGCACTCTACGTGAGGAAGACGACCGGAGGAAACATGACATTAGCCCCTTTCACACATACAGACCTTTCCGGGAAATTACCACATATTATGAACATCTCGACATGCAAAAGTGTTTCTCTATATTTTTTCATTGAAGTTGTTCACAATACTGATCATCCACAGAGTTTGTAATGTAGTCAAATGTTTACAAATTCAAGCGCAGCCGTTTAAAACTCATTTGTGGTGAATGATGTCACAATTTACCGGTATTTTGGAATGGATGTGTGAACGGTCTTTTCTGGAAAAATTCCGTAACGTCCTCGCCTGTGTGAATAGCGTTATTTAAATACTGCCATTCGGAAGCACAGCATATGCACTCACTCACGAAATGATAATGTTTACAACCTTATTAATACATATTAATCCTTTTTAACAATATTAAATGTACATGCTGATATACATATTGTCAAGATCTGAGGTAAATCTGCTGCTGCTTTCAGTAGTACACGTCAAGTAAAATGGCATTTAAACTCACATTGTTTGCATTTAACACTGAACAAAGCACATAAGGTGTACCTGAGGTAAACAGCACTGTCAGTTTGTCCTGTTGATCAGCTGCAAGAAATAGAAGACACTTCTAATATATAAATTTGAGGTGTTAAAACAAAAGAGGTTAGAAGAAAACTCCTTTTAAAATGGAAAAACCATCCCATCATGTACCGTTGCTTTTATTTAGAACACGATTTAAGTCAGGCTTTAGGCTCGATCGTCAGACTCGCTCCTGTTGGTTCTTAATCTGGCTACCTGTGCTTGCGTTTGTTTTGATCCAGGAATGCAATACCTAGTTCAACAACTGGGTGTCAAACTTGCATATACAGCACCTTTAATTTATCCTCATCTAAACTGTAAGTGACTTTTCTCTTCAGTATAACATTAAAATAACATATTTAGCTGAAACTGTGGGCTTCGTTTAGTCTTAAAGGCCATTCAACCATTATTGAATCAAAATAAATCAAGGAAAAATTAGATCTTGAGGTCGTCTAATGTTGAATGGGTTTAAATGGATATAACATCCAAAAATACACTGCATGAGTCAAAATGACATTTTTCTTTTATGCCAAAAATCATTAGATTTTTAATTGTTGTTGTTGTTTGTTTAGTAATATGCATTATAATAACTTAAAAGCTTTAAGGTTAATTTTCTCAATATTGAGATTTGTTTGAACCCTCAAATTCTAGAGTTTTAGTAGTTGCACCTCTGTTGCCAGATTGCTTTGTATATTAACAAATCTACATTTATAGAAAGCTTATTAATTTAGCTTTCAGATAAGGTACGTCTTAAAGTATTAAAAGTTGAAAGAAAAATGTAGAGAAATTTAAGGTTCTTAAAGTATTAAAAAGACTTAAATTCTACAATATTTTGCAAGGTATTACATTTGATTTCATTATTGATTATGCAATGTATGGTTGTATGTTATCAGGATGCTGTGTAGTTTATGAAATCAATTAAATCCCACTAGATTTGACAGCATGCTGCTTTGTTTACTGCAGTAACCAAAGCAATACCATTATTTCAGCAGTATTATAGGCCCCAACCTGCTGAATTAGCTAGATTATATAGATCATATTTAGTATATTAATAATGTTTTAGTTTTGGATTATTTTCTTACATTAATATTTAGTAAAAATACTGTAAGTTAAAATATCTTGTTTTCCGGTTGAAAAGTGGTTATATGTTCCTAAAAGGTATGTAAAGAGTTGTAAAAAGGTCCTAAAAGGTATTGAATTTTACTCTCTGATTCCTGTATATATAGTACTCTGTTTATGCTGATAACTGTATATATTATGTACATATTTGTATTTCGCAGTTTATGGATTTTTATTTTTTATTTTTCTTCGGTTTTAGGTTCTGAATCAAGTGGAGACACCATCACATCTCCTACCTCAGAGAACTTGGATGCATATAAAGAACAGGAGGAAAAGACAGCCCGGGGGCCTCTGCAGGAGCATGTGTTCGCCGAATGCTCCAGGGAGAGGATTCTGGGATTGCTGGCAGCCATGTTACCTGCAACCAAACCGGTAAAAACAAGCTCTCAGAATAGTTAGACAATAGTTAAAAAAAAGTTTAACATATAACCTGAAATCTGTTTTGTCTCTCATTCATATTATACCTCTGTATAACCTTATACTAATATACATGTAATGAATGTGCTATAGGGCAGCCCGCTGTCATTGTCCAGCCTGAGCCCCATCCTGCCTCTGCTGTTCAGAGTGGTGATCTCCAACGCTGGCTGTCTGAATGAGACGTATCACCTGACCCTGGGTCTTCTGGGACAGCTTCTGTTGAGGATCTGTCCTGCGGAGGCTGATGCAGCTGTGACCGAGGCTCTGACGGACAAATTTGAGCTGCTTAACCTTGGTGATGGAGCAGCACTTGATGTCGCTGGCTGGAAGACCACACAATTGCTTTTTAGTCTGGGAGCTGTGTGTCTGGACAGGTATGGTGTGATGGGATGTTCAACATATGGTTAAAAAAGGATGCGTTTGATTTGAATAGGGAGATTGAGCTAATTCGTGCTTACAAATTGTAAAACTGACCATATAGCACGTAATTAATGTGTTAAAGAGGCTTAGTATTGTTTTGTTTTGTGTTGGAGTTTAATATTCGAAGTCATTCATTAGAAAGAATGCATTTAATTGTGCATAATAGTTTTATTAGCTGATTGTATTAGTCTTGTTGTGATAGCAGTACATAATATTTTACTAGTTTGTTGGGCTTGCTGACTGAAATTAAAAGTTTGTGTACATATGCCCCATTTAAATGATTGTGGTCATCTTCTGCCTTTTATTATTACAGTCGTATTGGTCTGGACTGGGCCTGCTCAGTGGCGGACATCCTACGAAACCTAAATGTTTCCTCCCAGTGGTGCACTGTTTTGGCATCTTTCACTGACCACTGCATCCTGCAACTACCACAACATCTCAAGAGAACAAACCTCTTCACACTGCTGGTGCTCGTGGGCTTCCCTGAGGTACGATAAAACCATTGATACTTGATAAGCCTTTTCACACTGTGCTTAACCCTGGATTATCATCATTCCTAACTCTTGTTTTAACCCTGATTGTAGGTGCTGTGTATGGGCACTCAGGCTGTGTTCATCGATAACGCCAATGAACAACACAACATGATTCTGCTCAAACACTTCACAGAGAAGAACCGAGCTGCTGTGGTGGACGTCAAGACTCGCAAGAGGAGAACAGGTGTGATAAGAGCTGTCAGCAGGTCACACTCATCTGTCAGATAGTCTCAGCTGTAAAAATACCGGCACTGCCATTGAGTTTAAAATCCCATGACTGTCATAGATACATAAACACACCTTCATTTATGAAGGGTGTTGGTGCTTTACACTTGTGTTGCCCATTTTTTGCGCATCTTGAGTAAACATACTGGCTTCTAAGGCTTTAAAGATAACAGAGCAAATATTTGGCCACAATGCTCATTTCTCAGTAGTAAAACAGTCATGTGCTTAAAAAAAATAATCCATGTTTTTTGTGTGTTCAAACTGTTTTTCAAATTTCAGTTCTGTCAGTCATCCACTGAAAACATGTAGCATTGTTGATTATAATGGTCATTTTTTTCAGATTTTGATAAAGACGTCTTTTAAAACATGAAAGCATCCTGTCGAAAATCAAACAAAAAGTGCTCAGGGGTAGCTTAATTAATGTGTTGGTGCTTTTTGGGCAAGGGATTCATCAGAAAAAACGGCAATTGTCGGTTCAAGGCACTCAAAAATGTGGAAAAAATAGTAAAAAGTCTTTTTTTAAATGGCTTTTGCTTGATTAGCACTGTGAATAAAGGCTTTTTAATATTTTTTACACATTTTTTCTTTGCCTTGGACTAATTTTTGCTGTTTATAAAAATTCTGTATTTTTTTCACCGTCCACTTAATCCAAATCTAAAGCTAACTAGCAATTTAGTCACCCTCAAGTGGTTGACTTCCTAGTATAGTGCTTTATAGTATTGTTTTTATGCTCTACCTGTAATCATTAGTTTTTTCAAAAGTGTGTTTAGATTTGTAAATGTTTTAATCAAACATTTGCTCTGAAGTTTTAAAAAAAGTGTGAAAAAATAATCACATATTCCTGAGTGAATTTTTGCGAATGTAATTTAAAATGTAAAAAAGAAATATATATAAACTATTAATTATTGAAAAATACTTTATAGTATATAACTGGGGTTGTCAATCGAATGGTCAATCAGTGTCAGTCAGGTTTCAACTTTCTTAAAAAAACATCTTTTGTCAAGAGTTAAGTTAAAGTTCTGGAACCACTTGAGTATAAGTAAATGGTGAGTAAATTTATGTGACTAATATCTTTTAAATTTTCACTTTCTGCCCTCATTTAATGAATTCTTTATTTGAGTTTGCACCAAACCCAAAGGGAACGCATGACTGTCTTTACATTACTCCTTTTTAAATCAATTAATTAATTATTAATAAATTACTAACAAGTAATAAATGACATCAATTCCTCACCTTTGGACTTTCATAGTACTCAATAAATATATATAAGAAAATCGAATATAAAAACAAAATTTAACTGAAAATACCTGGCAGGCAATCCTTTTAAAAAAAGTTTACATATCTCACAGTTTGCTATGGCAATGTTGTTGTCATCAACTTTTTATTACCTCCAGAACGCAGAAATACTTCCGCTTTCTGTTTAATTGCTTCCGTTTTCTACTTTGCTGGCATTTAACCAATAGTGCCTCTGCAACAAAGTGAATAAAATTAATAAATAATGAGAAAGTCATGATTGGGAGATAACATTTGATTCCGATCTAGTCTAACCCAGCGTTACAGCTTTTTTCCCGAAACACCTATAACTTATGTCACTTGAATGGCAAATCAAGCAATAATAAGAAAGTGTATTAATGCAACACTTGATGTCTATATTATTTCCCTCAGTGAAAGACTACCAGTTAGTCCAAGCCCATGAGAGTAGCAGCAGGAATGATTCAGAGTCTCACGAGGGTCAGGCTGTGTCTCCGAACTCAGCACACCTGAGCCACTACCTGAAGAACTTTACCTCCATTGTGAGTTTCCTGCTCCAGACAGGGGTAGAGAGCAGTGCACAGGACGCTGTGGAAGCCACCTGGGTGCTCTCTCTTGCTCTTAAAGGACTCTACAACACTTTAAAGGTATTTTTTTCTTTATTTAAGTATTTCATTTTAAATTCACTATACACCTTTAGCGTTGGAGAAATCAGAATGTTAATGTATCAATCTATACCAATAATTACAAATTTATAAATATTTGTAATAATTAATGCAATAATTATAGCTTAAAACGGTAGTTCACCCAAATAACAAATTTTGCTCGCTGTTACTCTCCCTCAAGTGTTCCCATACTTTTATGATGTTGAACACCAAAGAAGATATTTTGATGAAAGCTGGAAACCATTGTAACCATTGGCTTCCATAGTCGAACCAAGTCAATGGTTACAGGTTTCCAGCTTTCTTCAAAACTTTGTATTTTGTGTCCAACAGACGAAAGAAAATCATAATGGTTTTAAACAAGCAAAGGGTGAGTAAATGATGACAGAATTTTTATTTTTGGGTGAACTATCCCTTTAATAATAAACCTTGCATATACACTCTTAACACACTGATTACACATTAAATATATGCACAGACACATTTCAGAACATTCATTTTATTTATACACACACTGGCTATGTTCAAAGGAAACCAAATAATCCTTTGGTAATTGGATTGACTGCTCAACTAGACTAAAAACCTTCATGGAAGTGCGTCAATCGTTCCAATTGAGCTTGATCCTTATTTTATTGCATAATAAATGTAAGCACAAAGATTCATGTGCTTGTTGTCTACTTATTAGGAGCAAAAATATTTAAATATTAGCGAATAAAAATTGATGGTTGTAGAATAATATGTGTAACTAGCAAAAAAGTCGGTATATTCGTGCAGTATACGCATACCAGAAGATCAGATTTGTAATCAAGCTTGAGACATAGAAACACACACATCAGCCCAATTGTTAAATTATTTATTGTTCATGTAAACACAGTTTTTGTTAGACTTAGCTGTCAGAATGATTTCAGTACAGTTGTCAATGTAAATGGCCATTTAATGCTTTTATATTGGTTCCACTGTCTTGAAATACTGAATAGATTGTTTGATTGGTGGTTTATTTAGTTTTTTGGTGTTTGTTAGTTATCGCTAGGTATCGTTTGTTTTTTAAATGATAACAGCCGTTTTGCTTTTGCACTGTACACTTACACTGTATATTGTGAATTCTAAAAAATTGTGTTTTATAAAATTATTAAATGTTTATTATTATTAAAAACTAGACTAAAACATAGTGGTTTGAGGGACTGTTGTAAAGAATTGCAGTTAATACATATTTTGTGGCTCCAGTGTGATCCCTAAAGGTGCTGTATGTACATTTTTGACTCTTCTAAAGCATAAAAATATTATAATATGTTTGCAGATATTGAAGAAACATGACAAGGAAACATTCTTGTTTATCTGAAAAACAATGCTCAAGTTAGATATTCTGCTTTGAAAATGTCTGCTCCGTGCTGGAACAGCTGTCTTAGTTTTGGTCCCTTTAATCCACTTAATGCCTGTTTAGCCAATTATATTTCAGCATCCTGGGTTGTCTTGGTGGAAAACAGCGTATTTGAATCATTTAGTCAGGAGGGCTCTAAAAGTGTGTGTCCGCGACCGAAATGTGACCTCTGGTGGACAGTATCAGAATCTAAAATGAGAAACAGATTCAGAGTTACACATGAGGTTATTAATTAGAAAATAATATAAATATTATGAGCATAATTAAAAGGTGAGCTGGTTACATTTTAACATTGTGTCTTAACAACATGTTAGATTATGAGATTTGCAGTAATAAGCAATTTTCCTCCTACCAGAGGAAACACGACAGAAATTTAAATACAGCCATTCAGATTCACATAATAGTGCACTTACTGCACTCTAACGAAATGGTAAGGTTTACAATACATCTAATAAATGCATATTAAACCTCTTTAACATTATTAAATTTAGATGCTGAATCACTGATATGTGTTGGCTTGCATTGAGTCAAAGCTCTAAAGTTCCATTTCAAATGGTTTATTTTATTTTCAAGATCTGATGTGAATGATCTGCTGCTTCTTTCAGCAGTATGGCAATAAATTTCACGTAAAATGGCATTCAAGCTGTTGCTTTTAATTTGAACAGGACTTTAATCAGTCCTAAGGCATCCTATAGGCATGATCAGGCTTGTGCCTATTGGTGTCGTCAATCTGGCAACCTGCACTTGAGTTTCTTTTGAAGCAGAACTGCAATACCTAGTTCAACCACTGGATGTCAAAATGACATACTGCACCTTTAATGTGTTTAACCAATTGATTAATTATACCAAAAAAATGGTGACCTCTATGTCTTGCAGAAGCATGGTGTGGATCAAGCCCAGGAGGCCCTCCAAGGCTCTGGCCTCATGCAGCTCCTGGTTCGAAAATGTAGCAAAGGTACCGGTTTCAGCAAGATGTGGCTTTTGCGAGACCTAGAGATCCTCTCCATCATGCTGTATTCCTCCAAGCGAGAGATTCATTCGATGGCGGAGGACGCGGACACTGAGACAGATGGAGAGAAGGAGAGAGAGAAGGAGCAGGACTCTGACCACTCCAGCTGCTGTGCTGATGATGCCGACCCAAACAGACCAGATCCGTTGGAGGGACTGGACGAAGAGACCAAGATCTGCTTCCAGGTCAGCCTATAGACACCCTGCATCTCAGCAATTTAATGTTGTGTTGAGTGTTGTAATTGCTTTTCAATGATTATGAACTTAAGGGCAGATGATTCACTGAAATGCAATGAAGGGGTGATGATGTAGAGGAAGAGTTATTCAGAGCTCTAATATTATCTTGTTAGATTACCCATGATGCTCTTAATGCCCCACTGCACATCCTGAGAGCCATGTATGAGCTTCAGATGAAGAGAACAGACTCTTTCTTCTTGGAGGTGCAGAAGAGGTGAGTTGCGTTTCACTACAGTACACAGTCAAGAATTAGAATTTGTTCGCAGTAATATTGTGAGTTTATTTTGAGCTCCAAAATGTTCTTACCAGAATCCAAATTTATATACGAAAACATTATCATTGTCATTGAGATATGCATGTATATATCAAACGATAAAATTGACTAAAATTACACAAATCTTTGTTGACTAAATATATTTGGTTTAATTTAAGTGTAATTGAATTTAAATATTGTATACATTCATTTATACAAAAAATTCTAATTTAAAATTAAATAAAAAAGTCTCATTAATATTTGGAATATAGCTTTTCCATTGACAGAGCTTGAACCTAGCGTGAGTTAGCTAAACTTTAGCCGTAGCTTAAATGACGCGTGACGAAACCACTTGTCACGAAAACGAAAGCCATGATTATATGACTTTACGATTGACCGGTTTAATAGCATTTAATATACAATATAACTGAGTAAATTCTCTAAAGGTCAGTGAGAGGCTTTACCCTTTCAGTTCAGCGAAAGCACACACACAGGAGTAAATAAAATTAGATCTGAGTTTACCTTTGCTGAATTTTGAGATGATTGTCTGGCATGCTGATGGCTTTAGATTGGATTGTTGTGTGTGCGTGTGTGTGTGCGTCATGCATCACACAATAAGATTTTTTATTTATTTTTTTAAACTTTTTTTTGGTTATGCTTAAAATGAACACTCAATTGAGTACAACCATACAACATTTCAAGGTACTTTTGAATCTCAATGTGTGACCTTACCTTAAGAGATGTACAATTTACGTACATTATTGTCAGGTGTACTAACTTCACAGTACTCAAATTTTGTTAAATTATAAAAAGAAAAATAGCATACTTTTTGTAAATTAAAATGAAAGCACTATTTACATCCAGGGTGAGAATGCATGTCATAATATAATTCCTTCCAGAATAATCTTAAATGACCATCTTCATTATACACATGGGGAAAACACACAATACAATATTAATATATAATATAATATATATATATATAATATAATATATAATATTAATATATATATATATATATATATCAGTTGAGCATCTTCTATTTTTATAGCAAAAAAATCAGGTCTTCTAACTAAATATATTCAGCTTATTTTCCCTAGGAATATATCCTTCTTTAAGTTGATTGCAGAAGTGATTTATTTTTCAATTGTTTATATCTTAATAGTTGCATATATCCAATTATTTAAGGTTGGTCGATCTTGCTGTACACCAAGATTAATTCTGATTGGATATTTTCCAAAAAACATCCCTCAATCACATTCTCGTCTCGTTTTTATTGGTCAATGAAAATGTCAGTATATTTTTATTATAGTTGTCGTCATCACTATTATTTTATCTAGTTTTTGTTGGTAAAAACTTGTTCATAACGAAAATTATGGCAAAAAAATTTGACTGACAATTAATTATGTTCTTTGTAAGTTATGTTTTTTTTTTTTGTTGAAATGTTATTACTAAATTTTAAAGTGTGTAATTCGTCGACTTTCTCTCAAATAATCATTTTCTGTAAAATGTCATCTCCCAGGTTTGACGGCGATGCTATAAAAACCGACGAGACTATTCGTACACTGGCGCAGAAGTGGCAGCCATCTAAAAGACCTCGTTCTGATGAAAGAAGCACAAAGGCTGTAGATACTGATATTATTATTGTGCCCTGTGTGGTAAGACTAAGTGCAAGATTTAACATCCACTTTGTGATTAAAGTCAAAACTAATTCAGTTTTTTGACCCTCAGTCTAAACCCACCCGGTGTGAACGAGCCACAGAAGAAACGAATGTGGTCACGCAGAAGCTCATCACTAACACAGAGAGTGACCTGCAACTGAGTTATGCCAAACAACGGCGCACAAAAAGCTCTGCTCTGCTGCATAAAGAGCTGGACGCCCGCAGTAACAAGGCGGTACGTCAATATCTCTTCAAGGTGAACGAGGCCATTGCTATCCTGTATGCTCGGCACGTGTTGGCGACACTGCTGGCCGATTGGCCATCTGATACTCCCATCAGAGAAGAAGACCTGGAGTTGAGTGGAGCTTCTCACATGGCCTACATACTGGACATGCTCATGCAGCTTGAGGAGAGACCCATGTGGGAGAAGGTAAGAAGTGAAAAAACAAAACATTTATAATAGGGCTATGCAATGTGACAATATATAACACTGAATGAGGCTAAAATATTAAAAATAACACTGAATGGGGCTACAAGTTTAAACAGACTAATAGATAGACTTACAGACAGATAAATGGATGAACAGACAGACAGACAGACAGACAGACAGACAGACAGATAGACAGACAGATAGATAGATAGATAGATAGATAGATAGATAGATAGATAGATAGATAGATAGATAGATAGATAGATAGATAGATAGATAGATAGATAGATAGATAGATAGATAGATAGATAGATAGATAGATATTATAAACTATAATTGATTTATTTTACTGAAATAATATTGTGACGCATGTTGTTGTCAGGATATGAGATGACACATCTTAATATGGGATTACCGTCATAAAGCCAAGCCCTAATTTATAATAATACATTCATTCATTCATTTTCTTTTCGGCTTAGTCCCTTTATGAATCTGGGGTCGCCACAGCGGAATGCACAGCCAACTTATCCAGCACATATTTTACACAGCAGCTGCCATTCCAGCCGCAACCCATCACTGAGAAACACTCATACACTCTCATTCACTCACATACACTACAGACAATTTTAGCCTACCCTTTCACCTGTACCACATGTCTTGTGAGGAAACCGGAGCACCTGGAGGGAGCCCACATGAACACGGGGAGAACATGCAAACTCCACACAGAAATGCCAACTGACCCAGCCGAGGCTCGAACCAGCAACCTTCTTGCTGTGATGCGAAAGCACTACCTACTGCGCCACCGCGTCACCCTATAATAATACATTACATACAATTTTTTTTAGAATATATCTTACTTTTTTATTAACATGGAGTAACTTATTATATTGCTGTTAAAGCTGTGCAACCACAGCATGCACAAAGCACTCACAATTTTGGTTTAGTGCTAAATGAGAGAAACATGGAAGTGCATTACCCACATGCAACTGTTTTTTTTTATTTTTTTAATAGAAGAATAAGATTCATTAGGTTCACCATTGATAATAAATGTTGTTTATACAGTACTCAATGCCGCTATCATTTCTGTTTGTCAGTTGTGACCTATTTTCTGGCAAATTTGTAATTACAGTATATGGGTTGTTGACATGGCATTGCATTTTCATGGTCACATATGACAAAAATGAATATAATTAGTATGGTTATCATTTAAAATGCAGTAAATAGTTAAGCATTTAGGAATACCTCAGCATCATTTAAAAACTGTCTATTTTAGTAATCAATTTTTTTCATCCATACATTTCTAAAAAAAGAAAACCATGTCCTCCATGTGTAACGCCATATGCTCATTTTGAATCAGCAGTTCCACTGAAAACTTAAATTATTGAAGCATCCCATGACTGAAGCTCCCATGTAAAGTATTTGTCCCAGAATTTTTCACATATTTGGCTTTTTTTTTGAATCACTAAAATTTTAGTTGTCCTAAAAGTTGTTTTCCTTTAGTTTGACATCCTTATTTATTGAAAATATCCAACAGGTCCATGAAATCGTAATAAATAAATATTCTTCATAATTGCATATAAAATAAGTAGCGTTATATAAAGATAAGCGTCCAACAGTAAAGATAAATTGCTCTCCCTTAATTTGAGTGAGAGTTGTTTTTATTAATTTATGCCACAGTAAAAAAGTTAAGGAATTGATGTAGTTAATGTCCCCTTATATTTTCCCAAACATCACACTTCAAACTACATAAATATAACATATATAGCATTTTTACTTCCTATTTGTCAACCACCCATTTGCTTTGAATGTTGGAATTGTCAGATCTTGCAGAAGGTTCTGAGGGGCTGCAGCCAGAGCATGCTGGGTAATCTGTCACTGACAGCTTGCCAGTTTATGGAGGAGCCTGGTATGGCAGTGCAAGTCCGTGAGTCCAAGCACCCTTATGACAACAACACTAACTTTGAGGTAACAATCAAGTTTCTTTCTGTGCAGTAAATCATTGAATTCTGCTTGAGTTTCTAGGTGCTTTCAATGTCGTTCTTTGTGTTGTCTCAGGATAAGGTCCACATTCCTGGTGCAATCTTCTTGTCGGTGAAGTTTGACTCGCGCTGCCACACAGAGGAAGGATGTGACGAGCTCCTGATGGCCAGCAGTAGTGACTTCCTGCAGGACCTGCACACGTTCAGCGGGTCTCACCAGAAATGGACTGACTTTGAGATTCCAGGTGAGTTTAAGAAAGTTTGATTGTTCATAATCACTCAAGACCTCTTCTTGATTGAAATGATTTGGCATGACCTCAATAGAAAGATTCACATTAGACATCTCAAGAATACATCTGAGATGAAACCTTTTGCAAACAGTTCAAATATTCCTCCTGATTGTGTGCAGATCTGATTTATAGGAACAATTTTGGTGGCAGTTATTGCTGCCCGCAAACCAATCAGTTTGAACCTTAAATTGAAATTGACTTTTCTGTCCTGCAGCTAAAGCCGTTTCTTAAAATACAATTTGGAAAATAAATGATTTTGTATTAAGTTTCAAAGTGTCTCTTTTTTTCTGCACATTATTATACATCTAAAGGGAAAAAAATTAAAATAAATTAATTGTTGATAGTTTAATAAATAATAATTGTCAAGAGATTGTTAAGAAAAATATTAGTTTAATTATAACTTTTCTTTTGCCAGAGTGTCAATCGTTTTAAACAGAACTTAAAGTGACAGTTCACCTAAAATTATATTGGATTACCTGCATCTGTGGTCATTGGGGATTTCATATAATGGCAGTGAATGGTTATAGGTTTTTTTAGATTAAAATAAACGCATACAAACAAGTCCAAATCGATAGCCATCCTGATGACATACTGAAGTCTTGTAAAGCAAAACAATCGGCCCATGTAAGAAATTGAACATTTTTTTTACATTATTGCAGTTGTTGGTGTATGAATGATTGTAGTCTAGCTGCTTTTAATGACAAAAAGCATGAGTGCTGGTGACGCAATTACCAATATCTATCAACAAACTGCATCATCTGAGCTCCAGTCCAAGCAGACAGACTACAATTGAAGTTTATTTATAAACAAATTTTGAGAGGAGCACGTGTTTATGATTGACCATGGCTGGTCCCGCTAATACTAACGCTTGATTCACCAATCAGTTCCTAACTCACTATAAATAACCAGAGTTTTTTTTACTTCAGTTATCTTCGCCTTGAAGAATCCCCCCTTCCACCCCTACTCCTCCACCTTTCCTTTAAAGGGTGGCGCGGTGGCCCAGTGTTAGAACTGTTGCCTCACAGCAACAATGTCACTGGCTCAAGTCCTTTACAGGTCAGCTGACATTTCTGTGCGGATTTGACATGTTCTCTCTGTGCTTGCATGGATTTCCCTCGGATTCTCCGGTTTCCTCCCACAATCCAAAAACATGCGTCATAAGTCAATTGATCAATCTAAATTAGCACAGTAGTAGAGCTCTTAACCAACTGTATATCTCTATATAGCAATTTATAATCTATCATCAGCCTTGACTAAAGGGGGAGTTCTCGAGACCTACCTAAGCTCAAACTCCCCTTTTGCCCTGCAAACGGGAGAGCGCCCCAGCTTGAGGATCTTCTGAGCTCATGGTTCTCTCCTGGGACAGCATGCCAAACATGCTTTATAATAAATCATCAACTACTGTAAGTGTGAACTCTTGAATATTGTAAATAATGTTCAGTTTCTAGCACGGACCAATCATTTTGCTTTACAAGACCTCAGTGTTTCATCAGGAGCCATGGCTATTGGTTTGGACTCGTTTGTATGCATTTATTTTTAATCTAAAATGACCTATCACCATTCACTACCATTATAAAAAATCACCAAGGACCACAGGTTCTGCTTAAAATCTCATTTAATGTCCTCTCCTACATCGTGAATGAGTTAATTAAAACTACATTTTCATTTTTGGGTGAACTATCTCCTTAAGAAACAAGATCTTCCCTGACTTTTTAGATTGTCTGTGATAGGCTGTAGACTAATTTTTATGTGAAGAACTGCCTGAAAAGTCAAAATCATGATGTTAAGAGTTATTTTTTCTCGTTCTCCTCTAGGGGACACCCTGTACTTCAGATTTATATCAGATATGAGCAACACTGAATGGGGCTACAAGTTCACTGTGACTGGTGGCCATCGAGGACGTTTCCAGACGGGTATGCATTTAAAGATTTATCCTTTTAATATCTGTCTTCAGTGTCCTCCAGCCACCGTTAATCTTCAACCTGAGCTGTCATCATCTACATGTCTGGTTATTGTCCTCTAGAGTCATGCCCTCTAATAAGACATGGGAAAAAAAATGCCTGCCTGATTCAGTGAGCTTCACAGTAATGCCATCATTTTACGTGACGCTTGCATTTCTCCAGTGTTTTGGGCTTGTAACGTCGGCTTGTGAGCTTCATTTGCTCATCTGTGTGAGAGTTAGTGGGGGGTCGGTGTTCATGGCCGTGTCTCTCAGCATGTGGAAGCTTTAACAGCCACACAAACTCAACTTCCTGCGGAGTCCATGGCCCTGCAGACCCTCTGATCACATATCACACATCTAAAATTCATTAAGGCAGTCGGTGGAGTGGATTGGCATGGTTTTGGCAATGACCACTGAGCTGCTTTTCTGTAGAAGAATGCTAAGCCACACATCACAAACACTTACTGTTAAACTATTATGATTTTTTCTGTGATTGCAGTCTAAATACTGAAAGATGCAGAATTTAACATTTATTCTGGATTAATCTTGCTAAATATCAGCTTTTATATTGTATATTTCTTTGATGTGTTCAATACTTACAGTATTTCCACCACTGTATATTTTGCCTTTATTTCAATTAAAGAAAATATTTTAAATCTAAAATGTTTTAATTATTTTCTTTAATTGAAATAAAGGCAAAATATACAGTGGGGGAAATACTGTAAGTATTGAACACATCACCATTTTTCACAGAAAACATTTTTAAAGGTGCCATTACCAATTTCCACCAGATGTTGATGACAACCAAAGAAATACTTATAAAAAAAGAAAACAAACCTAATCAGTTTACAAATTAAGTTATATGTAATAAAAGTATATAAAAACAGGAAAAAAAAATATTGAACACATGAAGAAAGGTGTAGGAAGGCAGTGAAAGCCCAGACAGCAGCTAAAATCTCTCAGTAGTTATTCAGCAACCCTCTGCCCTTCATCATTGTAAATGAGTATTGGCTGCTTCAGTCCAACATCTACTGTACATTAGCAGGGTGATGAAGATGAAACCAGTGTGGACATTTCAGCAAGACAAGATCCAAAACACAGGAAACTCTTAAAGGCTTTCAGAGAAAGAAAATCAAGCTGTAGAATGGCCCAGTTTATCACCTGACTCGAATCCAATAGAAAATACAAATAAAGATCAGTTTGGATTGACGAAACCCACAGAACCATCAAGATTTTTATACTCTGTTGAAGTCTGTCAAAAAAATCACACCTGAGCAATGCATGTGACTTCATTCTATATATGAGAGTCGTCTTTAAACCCAATAAGAATACTTATTTCTCACACTGTAATTAAAGAGAGTTCTGTTTGAAATGCAAAAAGTCAACTCTAAGCTTTTTAACTGTAGTGTATGTGATTTATATACATTAAACATTATTATTTGGCGTTATTTTAAATGTGTACATTTGCATTTTCATTTTAAAAACTTATTGTGGTAGGTGAATGCCATTTTATGTTTGTTCTTTCCTAATACTGTGTGTTGCTTTAATATTTATTTTTTCCTAAATTAATTTGGAAACTATTATCAAATATTAATAGAAAATATTAGGCATGTTATATTACATTGTTTAGACTCTTAAAATAAATCTTATTTAGTAAAACTGTAAGTAAATATTGGTTAAGAAATATGATAAACTTTAAGAAAAAAGATTAATTGATAAAATTAGTCTCACAAGCTGAACTGAAATTAATCAAAGCTAAAGAGATATATAGAAATATAACAAATAAAAACAAATTTAATTATACAAAAAAATAAAAAAAATAAAAAAATCTATAAATGCTGTAAGAATACATTAATATTACATTAGATGAAGTCAAAGAGATGGGCCAAATGAGAATAACCAAGAGATAAATGCTAAATAGGCCAAATAAGCAAACTCTAATATTAGCCAAAAGGGTGTCAATATATGAAAAATGTAAGAAACATTTGTGAAATGTTCCTCTTGTAAAATGTATTGCTTACAACCTATTTGAAACATTTTGTCATGTTAAACATTAAACGTTAAACATTTAAGCACATTCATCTGTCCATGCATGCATTGAAAAACAAGGGAAAACAGCAGAGCAGTAGAATGCTGATCAATGATTGATCATGACTGTTAGTAAGCAGTAGCACTGGGTCACAGGTTGCTTTGAATTCTTCTCCTGTGCCTCGTTCACCTTTAATTAAAAAAGTAATAGGCTTTTGCAACTTGTGCTCCGTTTCTGGTCTTATTTGTCTATAATGGAATATCTAATGGGTTTTCCAGCCATGCAAGCAGTGCCTAATTTATATGGTACACCAACTCATTTGTTTTTACATAGAAGTATACAAGTCAAAGAAAGCAGTTCCATGTGTGAATTAGAGGTATTTAAGAGTTATGACTAGACACAGTTGAATGATTACTGCAAGAATTACAAGTTTTTTGTATTAAGTTTTTGTATTAAGCTTTTATTGTATAAGTTTTATAAAATGTTAAAATATGTAAATGATCAATTATTTAAATAAATATTCGCTTATTTGCATACATTTCTAACATAAAAATCAGAATTTTGAAAAGTTGGGTTTAATTTTTTTTTTACTACACATTAGTGTTTTTACAGAGAATATTGTATATATGTTTTCATCACCCCCGTAATTCAGAAATGTAGTTTTAGTTCAAAAATGCGGAAGAAAAATCTAATTTTCGGAAAACAGCTGTTAAAAAGTGTGTATTGAATTGACATGTACAGGCAAAAATTAATAAAGTGCGACAATAGAAGGATGTTTGGAGGTTTGTTTGTTTTTTTCCATTAGGCGGAAAAAACACTTCATAAAAAGCCTAACTTCTCAAAATTGACATTAGCATGAGAAAGCAGTGTTTTTGCCTGTAGTGTCTCACTTAAATTAGTGCACATGTTTGTTTCTCCAGGTTTTGAGATCCTGAAGCAGATGCTGGCGGATGAGCAGGCCCTCACTCATCTCCCGCTCCCTGACATCTGGGAGTGGCAGGTTGGTGTCGCCTGTCGTCAAACTGGAAACCAGCGCCTGAAAGCTGTTCATCTGCTGCTGAGGCTCCTCCAGTGTCCGTCCCAATGGTGTGTTTTTTCCTACCTTTCGTAACAGCTTTGACTGCATGCGGTCGTTATACCAAGCAAAAGCAACCATTTTACCCTGCAGTGCTTTGTAGCTGTTCCAGTATTTTCGTGAATGTCCATTCAGAGCCTGCATCTGTCAGGTCACTTCTGCACTCTGTGGACGGCAGGTGCAACTTGTCCCAGTTAAATAAGTCTCAGGTGCGCTAATCTACCCCTCACTTTGCAGCTTTTTGGACATTATCAAGCATGTCACTCACTTCGAAAAAAAAAAAAAACAATACACATCTTCAGTGTCTAAGGCCACATTTACGTGTTTAGATTTTGCCTCATGTGGCACAGTAGATGCAGCTCACTTACTGTAGATGTACGCTGAAAAAAAATCACATGGAGTTCAGTTTCATGCCTCAGTCATATTTGGAAATTGATTTGATGTGAATTGGACGTGCTTAAGTCTCTGCAATGTTGGTAGGTTGATCGGATTTTCACCTGTCAATAAGAGTTGTATATCATTAAAAAAATGGCAGGGTATGTTTCCTGAATCTTTTTTTTTTTGCGCTGTAAAAACATGAGTTGTTCTAAATACAATCATGTGTGTGCGCTTTCTCCAACTGTCAAAAAGTTTAAAAAATGCAGAGCTTTCATCACTAAGCGTAAAACCAGGATATCTGCTGGGCCTTAAAAAGGTCCTTAAAAAACAAAATTTTGCCTTAAAATCTTACATTTGCTGAAATATTGTCTTGTAGGTCTCACATCATTTTAAATGGTACTTAATTTCCTTTTTATGTAAAGTGACCCAATCAATCTAACACACATCCAGTCACCAACGATAAATCTCGAAACAACATTTAGCAAGTCTATATTCATAGCTAAAATTATAATAGTCTGTTGGGCATACATTTAATTTTTTTAAAAGTATTGTTGAAACAAATGTATGTGTACAACCAATGTTTTAACATTATTTAAAATATCTGGCTAAGAAATAACTTTTTTTTTTCTGCTGCGCCATTAAAAAAATGTTTAGCCCTGTATACATGAAATTTCATGTTTCTTGGTCTTAAAAAGTCTTAAATTTGACTTGGTAAAACCTTGCAGAAACCCTGAAATCATACGCCCAACGTCTTGCTTTGCAGTTTTTAAACTTTCCACTTTCCAAAACAACAGAAAAAAGCACTCGGTAGCGCAAATAACTCTTCGGTGGACATGCAACTTTAGGCTGTCATTACATAACGGAGTCCTTTATGAGTCCTAACCCTTAAAGTCTGCGTAAAACAGAACTTGCTATGGCTTTAATTTAAATACGTTGATGTACTGCTAACTGAAACGGAATATTAAGTTGGGGGCAGGGCTTACTTTTGCATCATTCCCTTATGGCAAACTAAAGGTAAAAGGGGCGTGGTTAACAATATTGTAACTGAAGCCATAAAACAGACAAGAACAGGGAAGCATCACCACTCCAAACGCAGAAGCAAATGGTCAGACTTTGAAGATTGCCAAAACAAACTTTTTTTTTCATTGAAATAACTTGCATAGATTAATTGTTCACCTCAAGAATGACAATGTGCGCTAACAAAATAACCATGAGACTTTAAATCTCATCTACAAGGATGAAAAAAGTTTTTATATTGTCAAGTGGCACAAGCATGTTAATGATAAGAGAGAGAGTGCATCCCAAATCGCACACTTATGCACTATTCTACACCATTTTGTAGTATAAAAAATGTAATTAGTGTGTTTACACTGAAAGCTCAGAAAAAAGAATAAGTGCACTATAAATACCTGGATATGCAACAGTGCACTTGTTCAACCATTAAAAAATAGATATGTTGGGCACCACACACGCTCAACGGGGCTTTGCTCAAGTAATGGAAGGGGCGCAGCTATCAGGTACAGACGTTTGATTACTTTATTTTCAATTGTGAAAGCAAAATTGTCCTACAAGAGTGATACTAGTGCCTCCCAATGGTGAATGCCGTTATACTCATGGCAGGTATTATTTAACAGTTTGGTAATTTATTTCACTAATTTGGCAATTTCAATTAATTGCACAGCCCTAATTCACAGTTAGTAAAAAAAGGATTAGTGCTCCATTTGGGGTGACACTATATTTATATACTGTGCTGTTAAGTGTGTAAGTGCATAGTGTATAGTGTGCCATTTGGGACACAGACTGAGATTTACTGAATCACTTTTTAATGGAGGTACTTGTTGTAACCTACTGCCATTTTTTTGATAATGTCTCTACGATAGGCCTAAACGAGTCAAGGTACAAGTACAAAAACACACTCACAAAATATTACTGAATTATCATTTAAAAATTCAGTGTGTTTTGACTTCTGAAACTCGAATCCTTTAATCACCTTTTTGATGAACAGCAATATAATGTTTCCTCTCATTGGCGGTTTTCCTCAGATGCACTTTTTGAATGGTTTATATCAGCTGTGGCATATTCATTCATGTCTTTTGTATTGCTGAGCATCCAGATTGACACAGCTTTTGCATAATATATCTGACAGTGGCTTTCTGCCTTGATTGTTCCCATGACAACAAGGTCACATGTCAGGGTGATTTGCATGATTTCCATGGTGTTTGGACACAGTTACATCATCATCAGATGGAGAAATGGAGAGCTGGACCTCTGCTGTCAGATGCAAATGGGCACCTGCCCAGCGCCAGGGGAACTTTAATCCACCACATAGTTCAAATGCTGTATGAGTAATGATGAAGCCAGGCTCATTCAGAATGTAATGAGCTCTGCATCTGATTGTTGTGCTTGTACACAGGGCTTGTGACCTGACGCTTCTGCGGCCGCTGTGGCAGCTCTTCACCACTATGGAGAGTGGTTTGTGTCAAGATCCTACCAGCATCACGGTCCTCCTTCCTCTCCATCGCGCCCTCACGGAGCTCTTCTTCATTGCTGAAGCAAAAGCCATGGTGAGAGACTAGTCTCCTTATGTTTTTCTCAACCTTTTATTTTATGAACATGATCTTAAATCATGCACCTTTACCACAGATGATAATAGTTCTGATTTAAACTAAAACCCATTTGAATGACAAGAGCCTCATATAGAATGAAATATCAATTCATTTATTTTTATTTTTCTATTTCTATCATTGCATTCCTTTCAAATATTTGCATTATTTATTCACACGACCATTCAAGACTTTAGAACGTTTAAGTAAAAAGTAGACTTTTATTTAGTACACATTAAAGCAGAGATGCCCCTAAGTTGGCCCATTAGCCACCTTTCCTCTATCGCCTCTAAAGCGAGCATGCCAGGGCCAGACGCGTTTCCACTGTCACTTCCAGGGCCTGATTGGGCCAAAGCAGGGCTACCTCGGGGCCAGCGGCTGGCATTTTTCCACCCGCCGAATACCTTAGGCCACAGAGGGCCAGCTGTGGCTTCTGGGCAGAGTGAAATGAAAGGCGAAGATTGGCCAAGTCTGGTAATGATGGCTTTCGCCATTACACTAGTATTCCGATCGCACACAAGAACATGCGCCAAAATAAATAAATAAATGAATAAGGGAAAGAAAAACCTATAGCTGATCACTCTAAGATTTATCTAGAGCTATTCCATAAAACATCTTATTGGCTAGGGATGTTTTGCTAATGATCGCCCTCATGTTTCCCTTTTAAATATAAGGCTGTTGCATAAAATAGTAAAGCAGTTTTAATTTAACAAGTGATAGCCTAGCCTATTTCTTTTCTGAATCCTCCTTGATATTTCAATAGCACATAATAATCTTTACACTATTAGAGACACAGCAGCCAGTAACTTTAAGTTGTTAAGAGTTTTTGTCAAGTTTAAAAGGTGTGTTTGTGCATGAAACATCCATGTATATCTGTGAGAGAAACCGGCTGAGACAGCGCTCTCTTCACAGCTCTGTTGATGCCGCGAGCGACTGGGTTTCTTTCTTTATTTTGGAGTTAATACAAAACATGAATACAACAGAAAGACATAAAACTTTACAAATTACATGTCCACTTTGGTAGGCTCAACACATATATCATATCATATCATATCATATCATATCATATTTAGATAAAATAGCTTAGCCTATTTTGATATCATTTAAAGAATTAGAAATTTTTAAAAAAGCATTTTGTAGGCAAGTGAAACTATCAGAAACTACCTTTTTTTCTGTAACCCAGTCCTGGGCATCTTTACAAATGGATTGGGAAAAAATGCACGTTAAAAAAAAAAGTGTTTAATGTTCTCAAACAAATGTTCATTTTTTTATATGATGTGGTAAATTTTTTTAATTAAATTTTAAATGTAGAACTTTCATTGCCTTTAACAGAGATCGTCATTTCTAATTTGACAAAACATTTTTTGTTTATTGGTTTTATTGTTAAGCTACAAAAAAAAGCTAATTGAAAGCTAATTGAATTTTTTTTTAATTAAACGTAAATTAATCTGAGTGCTCAAAACGTAAATAATGTCACTGGACGAATAGAGGACGCAGAAGACACGGGCAAGCAAATCAGGGCAAAAAAAAAAACTAATGTACTGTAACTCCATTCTGTTATAAATAAATTTTTTTATAATAAAATAAAATCTCTAAGTTCTGTATAAAATGAAAAAAAAAATGTGTGTGTGTGTGTGTGTGTGTGTGTATACTGTGTGTATATATATATATATATATATATATATATATATATATATATATATATATATATACTATATTAGTGAATATAAAGCAATATTTTTTTGTTATTTTTAAATATTATTCATTATATTAGGCCCAGTAGCCTTAATAAAGTTCGGTTTTCGGCCCTTCCTAAAATAAAAGTTTGGTCACCCCTGCATTAAAGTGACAGTAAATATATGTAAAATGTAACAAAATATTTCTATTTCAAATAAACGAGGTTTATTTGAGCTCTGTTTATGTAGGAACATTATTATTTCACAAATGTTTTCAACACTGCTTCAAATTTTTTAAGCTTTCAATCAGTGAATCAGACTAATTATTAAATGATCATGTGACACTAAAATGTTCCTCATAGTTTAGTTGTCTGCAAATGTATATAACTTATAAAAAATTAACATGGTAGAAAAGACATATTTTAAATAAAAATTTTAGTTTATGATATTGCTGATTTACTTATTAAATGAACAGCATAATTTCTTTGCATAATTTCTGTGTTTCTTGGATTAACTATTTGTTTTTTATTTATTTATTTATTTATTTATTTATTTATTTATTTATTTATTTATTTATTTATTATCGACCAGTGATGGAAATTTTTCCTAGGTAGGGCTCACATATATGGTACACATTTCAAAAGAAACACACACACACAACACACACCTTTGGAATACGATAATATCTGACCTGAAACAGAAGACATGAAGTCATGCAGGATCCTGACAAAACCACATGACTTATTTAAAATATTAATTGCAGTTGGAATAAAAGAATTGCTGTAAGCGTTCTATTTGGCCTGTGGAATTAATTTGATAATTTATTTTGCTGTGCATTTAGGGTTCCACATGTACAGTAAATATTTAACAGATATGAACTGCTTCGTGAGCGACACAGTGGCTCAGTGGGTAGCACTGTCGCTTCACAGGACCAGAAGAACCAGATGGCATTTTTATGTGGAGTTTGCATGTTCTCCCCGTGTTGGTGTGGGATTCCTCCATGCGCTCCAGTTTCCCCCACTGTCCGAAGACATGTGGTACAGGTGAATTGAATAAACTAAAGTGGCCGTAGTGTATGTGTATAAATAAGTGTGTATGGATGTTTCCCAGTACTGGGTTGCAGCTGGAAGGGCATGCGCTGTGTAAAACATATGCTGGATAAGTTGGCGGTTCATTCTGCTGTGGTGACCCCTGTTGAATTAAGGGAATGAGCAGAAGAAAAATGAATGAATAAAAAAACTGCTCTGTCCTTCATACACCATTGTTAAAACATATGCGGTCCTTTTTGATGCCTTTTGTTTTCATAAAGTGACGCATCTGTCTTGTTTCAAAACTCCAGATGCCCCGTTAAGTTATTTATCCTGGCATCCGACAGTAGCTTTTTGTGGCAGTCCTGCATTCCTAATTAAATCATTTTGTTTTTGGAAACATCGATCAGAATTTGTAAGTGGGAACATTTTATATCGAGGCCAGAAATCTGGGAGGCGTCCAGGTGATGCACAAGTAATTGATTTGTGCTGTCATGAGGAAGCAGTTTTGTGATGATAAGTGAAAAACTGGACTGGAGAGACTAGGGTTTTGTCTGTGCAAGAGTGTCTGTTAAGGGAATTTCTCATATTCATCTTTAACTGTCTGTCGAGTGTGTTTGTGTCACATTTGTGTCATCAACTCACATTTCAACATAATAAAAACGTACAGTCCTGACATCAGTCTTAATGACAGTGTTTATATGGTGTAGAATGCGAGTCTACAAGACTTCACAATCCTAACCATTATGATTGACTGTTGATATTGCTGGCCATGTTTACCAAAGGAGGATCTTCAGCTCAAACTCTGTTTAACCAGATCCTATACACTCACCGGCCACTTTATTAGGTACACCTGTCCAGCTGCAAGTTGACTCAAATTTTTAATCAGCCAATCACATGGCTGCAATTCAATGCATTTAGGCATGTAGACATGGTCAAGACCATCTGCTGCAGTTCAAACCGAGCATCAGAATGGAGAAGAAAGATGATTTAAGGGGTTGGTTGTTGGTGCCAGATGGTCTGGTCTAAGTATTTTAGAAACTGCTGATCTACTAGGGTTTTCACGCACAACCATCTAGAGTTAACAGAGAACAGAATTTGGCACCAACAACATGAAAGCATGGATCCATCCTGCCTTTTATCAACAGTTCAGGCTGTTGGTGGTATACTGGTGTGGGGGATATTTTCTTTGCACACCTATGGCCTAATAGTATCAATCGTGTCAACACCACAGCCTACCTGAGTGTTGTTGTTGACTATGTCCATCTTTTTATGACCACAATGTACCCATCTTCTGATGGCTACTTCCAGCAGGATAACACGTCATGTCATAAAGTGTGAATCATCTCAGACTGGTTTCGGGAACATGACAATGAGTTCACTGTACTAAAATGGCCTCCACAGTCACCAGATCCTAAATCCAATAGAGCACCTTTGGGATGTGGGTGAAGGGTGATTCGCATTATGGATGTGCAGCCGACAAATCTACTGCAATTGCATGATGCTATCATGTAAATATGGACCAAAATCTCTGAGGGTTATTTTCAGTACCTTGTTGAACCTATGTTACGAGAAATTAAGGCAGTTCTGAAAGCAAAAGGGGGTCCAACTCTGGTACTAAGGTTTACCTAATAAAGTGGCCAGTGAGTGTATATACACGGTCAGTAAAAATCTACAGACATTTTTGACAATTTGATACATTTTGTTTCAAAAATAATACTAAATTTAAATCAGCAGAATTATGCTGAATGTTTTATAGAATAGCAAAACAAATTAACAATTAAAAAAAAATTGTTTCTTAACTTTTAAGATTTACAGAGCAGATCCAATTAGAACCACTTGTTTGGTAAACAAAGTGTCATAATACATCCACTAAAAGACTATCGTATTGTACAAATGTCCAAACAATTCATTTTATTCTCGTTTTTTTTATAATGGTGAAGTTTTACTACTTATAAATGATGTCTCACTTTGATTTATATAATGGAAAGAATTCATACATGTGAATGAGTGGCTTCATTAAGAGTGTGACAGAGAAAAACCGAGCACTAGATGGCAATAACACTCTTACTTGTATTCAGAATAAGCCAAAAAGGTTTTTCAAGAACACAGTATAGCCACACAAATTCTGAACATCCAGTAAATGATCTATATTTTAACCACTACTACCGTATAACGCCTGAGTGAATGACTCAGGAAAGATTTTATGACAATAACCTTTCATCACTGAGCCATAATCTCTTTTAGCAGCATGAGCGTCAAGTGGTTTGTGTGTGTGTTTGAATGGGGAATGTTTAAGTGAGCATTAGTCTGGAGGACTGACAAGCAAATGGCTGAAGTGAGTGTTTTGTGCGAGTGTTGAGTGAATTATTATGAAAAGCCTTAATCTCTCCCACAACCACTGCACTTCTCAGAATTGACTGTAAGATTTCCATTGTTGATTTTCAGCACTGCAACACTGGAAGATGAGATCAGAAAACTCAGCATGTGAATATTCAGCTGTTGCACAGTTTTGAGGCGGAAAGAAAAAAAAAACTGATAAGAAGTTCAGACTTGCTCTGTCTTCCTCTCTTGTTGTGTAGTAATACTCATTTCTGCGGGATGATAAAAGCCCCTCCTTCGCAGAGGAAGTGGTTTCGAATGTGCTGTGACATGACAAAAGCGGCAGCCGCTCCACAGTCTTCAGTGAGATGAGTTTTCAGATGTCTAGATGCCGTTTTCTTTGCTGTAGAATTGAAGTGTTGTGTGACGGGCTGCTGTAATACAATGCAACGGTACAACATTTAAAACTTTTACTAGGAAAGTTATTATAAATGTATTAAGCTGAATTTTTAGTCTTCAGTGTCATTTAATTCAGAAATATAGCTGATGTGGTGCCTAAATGGATGTTTTGATTTAAATTAGAAGTTTGCGGTTTACTGCAGACTATTGAAAGTTTTTATTTTATTTATTCAGGTGAACATTAATAAACACACACACACACACATCACACTCACTCACCGGCCACTTTATTAGGTACACCTTCCTAGTACTGGGTTGGATCCCCTTTTGCCTTCAGAACTGCCTCAATCCTTCGTAACAGATTTAACAAGGTACTGGAAATATTCCTCAAAGATTTTGGTCCATATTGACATGATAGCATCATTCAGTTGCTGCAGGTTTGTCGGCTGCACATCCATGATGTAAAAGTTGCGTTGCACCAAATCCCAAAGGTGCTCTATTGGATTGAGTTCAGGTGACTGTGGAGGCCATTTGAGTACAGTGAACTCATTGTCATGTTCAAGAAACCAGTCTGAGATGATTCGCGCTTTATGATATGGCACGTTATCCTGCCTGAAGTAGCCATCAAAAGATGGGTACATTGTGGTCATAAAGGGATGAACATGGTCAGCAACAATACTCAGGTTGGCTGTGGCGTTGACACAATGCTCAATTGATACTAATAGGCCCAAAGTGTGCCAAGAAAATATCCCCCACATCATTACACCACCACCAGCCTTTTCCAGCCATTCTCCTCTGACCTCTGGCATCAACAAGGCATTTGTGGCCACAGAACGGTCGCTCACTAGATATGTTCTCTTTTTTTTCAGACCATTCTCTGTAAACCCTTGAGATAGTTGTGCGTGAAAATCCTGAATTGCAGTTTCGGAAATACTCAGACCAGCTTGTGTGGCACCAACAACCATGCCATGTTCAAAGTGACTTAAATCACATTTCTTCCCCATTCTGATCCTCAGTTGGAACTGCAAATAATTAACCTTAAAAATAAATCTTGGTGACCCCCAGATTCTCTAACTTTTGTCTATAACATAATTTATTCATGCTTACCTTTTCAGTAGTATATTTTTAAACTGACAAAAACAACATTAAAATTTAAACATATAAATAGGAGGCAATGTCAAATTCAACTGGCAATGAATGATGATACCTGTATGCAAACTTCCCCTGAAGTTTTGAAGTTTATGCTGAGCTTGTTCATTTTACTATTTGTCATCAATATTGGCATTTCTAGTCCGGTTATTTGCCCGTCATCAAGAGGTAATGCACTCATTTTAACAGCATATGGCTAATTCTTGCCAGTCAGTGTATGAGTATGCATTAGCCTTGTCAACCTTGTTACAGTATGTATTGTTTATACATCAAGTTACATAACTGCTTTTTAATATATATTTTATTTACAGTTGAAGTCAGAATAATTGGCCCCCCATGAATTATTATCCTCCTGTTTATTTTTTCCCCAAATTTCTGTTTAGTGGAGAGTAGTTTTTTTTAACACATTTCTAAACATAAAAATTTTAATAACTCATTTCTATTAACTGATTTATTTTATCTTTGCTATGATGATGTTTTCAAGACACTTCTATGCAGCTTAAAGTGACATTTAAAGGCTTAACTAGGTTAATTAGGCTGGTCAGGGTAATCATTTACATTTAGTCATTTAGCAGCAAGTTATTGTATAACGATGGTTTGTTCTGTAGACTATCGAAAAAAAATAAAGCTTAAAGGAGCTAATAATTTTGACCTTAAGATGGCTTTTAAAAACTTAACTGCTTTTATTCTAGCTGAAATAAAACCAATCAGACTTTTTCCAGAAGAAAAAATATTATTAGACATACTGTGAAAATGTCCTTGCTCTGTTAAACATCATTTGGGAAATATTTAAAAAATAAAATAAAAATAAAAAAGGAGGGCTGATAATTCTGAATTCAACTGTATATATATATTGCATTGTACTGTTCTTAGATTCCACCATCAGAAATTCCCCAGAGATCACAAAACAGCCTCTGCATGACCCAGAAATTATTTACTTGGAGTCTCCAGACTTTGATCAATGTAAAATACCTGGAATGGTGCAAATCCTTCCACCGTAGGAAATGAGACAGCAGAGGCAGGGCTGATTTAGATGGTGTCTGCTTTGATTCAGAGCCTTGTCATCAACATTAAGGTGCTGTTCCAAAGCTCAGATTAACAGCTCATGTTGAGGAGCCAGTCTATGCTGAATAACACTGTAGTGTAACCCTGGTCTTAAATTGAACTGACCGCTGCTCGGATTACTCTCCTGGCAAGTGCTGTAGAATAAATTCAATGTTGTTGTTGTTGTGAGTCAATACTGAAGCTGTTGTGTGTCTTTTCATTGGTCTGTCAGGAGCAGAACGTCCTGCAGGAGTACCTTCTGGCTCTCACTACCAATGAACAGCTAGTGGTTCGCACAGCACAGGTAAGAGCATCAACACTATCTATGAGGTTCATTTATTTTAATTTACTTTACCAGGTTAACCTCCACTGAGATTTCAATTAAGAGCCGACAGCATTTTAAAAATATGATCTATGTATATATATATATATATATATATATATATATATATATATATATATATATATATATATATATATATATATATATATATATATATATATATATATATATATATATATATATATATATATATATATATATATATATATAGTTTAAATAAAATGGCAAAATATAGGTGAAATAATGTTCCCTCATTAGTCGGCTTCAAAGTAAAAATGAAACCACATTACAATATACAAAAGAATAAGCAATCATGTTAAATGTGCCATAGAGTGCATTGATTTAATATATTAAATGGTTCTCTGATAAGTTAACACATTTTTTAGAATTTTATATGAACATAAATAACAACTGGACAAAAATAAATGGTTTTGACTTTATTTGGAATGGTCATGCACTTAGGGTTAGGTGTTCCACTGAGTTAGCTTGTGTCTCAGTGCCTGTTTTGTCTCCTTCTCACACACACAATTTGATGTAGTCTGAAATACAGATGTGTAAAATATTCATTTGTCAGGTATATTTTTGCTAGTAGGAGTGAATGAGATATATTTATGCCACGGGAGTAATATTGTTTACTTTTGAGTCTGTTGTGAATGAAATATAGGATAAAATTAAATTATATTAGACAAAAGGGATTGCCAAACATCCATTTAGAGTTGCATTCTGAAACCTTTAAGTATATATAAAAGCACAGGCAGAAATTGTAAACGTCTGCATGAACAGATGAGTTTTAGTAAGTAATTATCATCCTTTCACTCAAGAAAAGCTACAGAAAGAGATGAGTAATATGACACAATGCATCAACTGGCATTAAACAGTAATATTTACATGTGTCTGTTGCCTCATTAAAACTAGCTAAATGTACATTTAAAAGAGATTATACTCTTCGGTATTAAAAATTATATATATATATATACACACACACACATATATATATATATATATATATATATATATACATATATATAAATTTTAATACCGAAGAGGTTTAAGCTCTTTTTATAAGCTTCTTTTTAGTCTCTCTGCCTCTCCCACTTTCAAAATGAAGAGTACATATGAAGTGTAATACTAGCTTAGATAAACTTAAATGAAAAAATATGAAAAAAATATACTTGTTGTAATCTCACTAGGAAACATCATGGCCAATCAAACAGCCTGGGGCATGCATATTAATGAGTTATTGTTCCAACTGGCCTGTTTTTCACCAGCATTAAACTCTCATGGGATTTACTTGAGAATGAGGAAACAATGGTGTCTGAAGTTCACATTATGCTGTTTCCATGGACTGAACTTATTATTCAGCGATGCCTAGATATATCCAGATTTTTATTCCATGGCACCTTTAAATTATATTTAAAATGATTAAAACTGGATGCAGTGGGTAGCACGTTAGCCACACAGCTAGAAGAAGGTCACTGGTTTGAGCCTTGGCTGGTCAGGTGGCATTTATGGGTGGAGTTTGCATGTTCTCACCGTGTTCGCGTGGGTTTCCTCCGGGTGCTCCGGTTTCCAATGTCCAAAGACATGTGGTACAGGTGAATTGGGTATACTAAAGTTAACCGTAGTGTATGAGTGTGAATGAATGAGTGTCTATGGATGTGTCCCAGTGATGGGTTGCGACTGGAAGGTCATTTGAAAAACCATATGCCTCATAAGTTGGCGGTTCAATCCGCTGTGGCGATCCCAGATTAATAATGGGACCAAGCCGAAAATAAAATAAATGAATAAATGTATGATTAAAGCCAAGTGGTCAAAAGATTTAATTGGACAATTAACTAGTATTAAATGCTGACATAAATTCATAAATAATTATTTCTGTAATAAGTGTAAATATAGTCTTCCCTTTTAAATAAATGTTGGCTGGTGAACGTATTAATTAAGAATTAATAATTAATTATTTTTAAAAATAGCATGAATACCAAAGGGTTTATTGCTCTTTTAATGAATTTTAATTAATTATTTAATTAATTAGCACATGTAATTTATTAATGGTATTTGTCATCCATAACTATCACAGCATGATATGATGTATAGGAAGGAAGATAAACAAATGCAATATAAGAGCTATACATATGAAGACATTTGAACACAGACTAAGGCTCCCATGTTCGAATTATTACATACATAGTAAAATAAACTGAAGGCACCAAGGGTTTTCACTGGTATTAGTTCTCAGCTTAAAGTGTGATGTGGCAAAGCCCAGTGCATTCATAACCTTGTGTCATAAAGCTGGTAATTCACAGGAAGCACAGGAAACCACAGCACAATGTAAAGGTGAATGTTTGTTAAACATCTAAGTGATGGGGAACTGAATCAAATGTCCCACCATATGCTGATGATGAATCATAATAATCCTGTAATGTCAAATAATGTGTAAAGCTTTTATCAGCCTGCGTTGATGACTGACAGCCATTGTACAGCATGGATAGTTGATGAAAAATTAATGAGTGTATTTTATTAATGTTCTACTGCAGCAGCCTCATTTTTGTCTAGGATCTGTTTTAATACAAACTATTTTATCGGTTAATAAGCACAGAGAAAATATTTCAAGAAATTTGATGCTGATGTTCGACCTTAGTTTGTTAGATAAATAATGGCATTTTTGACAAAATTGCCTTTGGTAAAATAAATATTTGCGCTCCTCATCACATGATGGCTCTAATCAAATATTGTGCTAAAACAGATGAACATCAGAAAGCATATTGATCAAGAAAACACCTGTGTTGATTCTCACACGCGGCATATCATAAAGTGTCTTTACTTTAATGTTTCAAATAACTTTTGTGAAAATAAAATGCCAAAATATGGGCAAATAATCTTCCATTGTCATTCAGTGTAACACTTATTTACACACACTGGAGATGGATGAGGAGATTCCCCAAATGTGTAAAAAGCACTTTGAGTGTCCAGAAAAAGCACTATATAAATGTAAATAATTGTTATTATTATTATCATTATTAATATTATTAACAAACCCAATAAATCATTAAAACAAACACCTACGACCCTTCACAACCACCTAACTACTGCATGCTGTGAGCTGTCTCACATTGGAAAGCAGGTGCAGTCGATGAAAAATAATGAGAAACTGGACATGCAGACAGTGCTACGTCACCAATTTTGATCGCACCACAATAATAATTTTGAACCCGTAAGATGAAATTAGCTGACAAAAGCTCCAAATGATACAGTTTTCCCCATAATTAAAGCTAGCAGGTTCTAATGTTGTCTTAATTGATGCTCAACACAAACAAATCTGTTAAAAGGTCCTGACTCTCTGTGGTTGTTAAAAGTCCCAGGATGTCCTTTGAAAATGAGTAGGGGTTTAACTCCGGCATCCTGGCCAAATTTGCCCACTGGCCTCTGTCCATCATGACCTCCTAATCATCGCCATATCATATTTGGCTTCATCGCTCGGTCTCCTCTCCACCAATCAGCTGGTGTTGTAGTGTGTTGTAGTGTGCGGTTTGGCACAATCATCAATTCATCGCGTCATCTAGGTGGATGTATATAATGTATTATATATATATATAAATGTAAGGAATTATTCTTCTTATTATTTTTTATTGTTGTTATAATTATTAATATGTATTTAGCTTGCTTATTATTATTATTATTATGACCTTTGCTGTTTAAAATGAATAGATATTAAGTGACTAAATGATATGATATTTTAAATGTTTAAATAGCCTCTTGCTGGCAAATGTGTTCAAAATTTGTGGTTCTAAGGACAGTGGTAAAATTAGAAGATTTAAATTCAATGTGGACATTTTATGTCATCATATAAATCATGATCAAAATACATCTGACAAGATGTTTTGGTATATACACTATAATTACCTTGAATGGCATTTTAGTGTGCGACTACTTTAAATTACGAAGAAAATGTGTAACAGACATATATTTGTGCTCATCACAAGCCCACTCGAACCAAATTTGAATCTAAAACATCAGAATGGATATTGACGTATGTCAGTTCTCATGTATCATCAATATATGAGTGTGTTTGTGTGTGGGCTGTGAGCAACTCTATTGCATTTAGTCATTAACCCCATTATCATGTTTAGAGTGGCACAGCTTCATCTCCGGTACAGGGACCACTTTGTGCTGTGTAGGACGGGATTAATGCTCCCTATTTATCTTATCCCAAACAACTTTTTAGCTGGAATAAAAAAAGCATATTCATGACAGCCAAACAAGTGGTTTTATGTTGTTTAATAAAAAAAAAAAGAGTATTTCGTGCCACGGATTTAAATGGCATATTTGAAGTGTTATAATTGTGTGTTTGTGTGTAGGTGTTTTTTGCTAAACTCTGAGGGCCACAGGTGTGTGAAACGGTTTGAAAAATTACCCACAATGTTTTGCTTAATGGGTTTTTTCTCTGCTCTCTTTCTCTTTGACTTCCTCTGGCTTTGTTGCCTCCTCCTGTACTCATTCACTTTTCTTTATATCATTCTCTCTCCTGTTTTATTGCACAGGCGCTGAAGAACATCGCAGCCATCAGCCTGGCCATTAATTACCCAAATAAATCCACTAAGCAGCTCAACCTGTCACCCTGAAAGACAGGTGAAAGAACAATGGAGATGAGAGAAGGGAAGCTTTCCAGTGGCCAATGGGATCGGGAAGTGGCCCACATATGGTCTTCCAAGAAAAACCCACCCATATCACTGATATTTCTTAAAATCACAAACGTCTTGGAGTCTCTTCATCATCGTTTCTCTTTTTTTATTTTGAACTCGTGTTCAGGTCTATCAGTGAGAGTTTGGCGCAATTAAAAAATAAAATTACTTCAACTTGTTGAAAACGGTGGTGAATTAAGTTGAAAAAACTTAATTCTGTTAGGTGCAACAACTTGAAGTAATTTTTTTCCCTTCATTTCTGACTTTTTTTTTCGTGTCCGTTGTGCCAAATTAGTTTCTCCCCATTACCTCGTGTTCCTATCTCCACTACTTGGTTTACTTTTTTAGGTAAAGCGTCTGTTGGGCGAGACAATTGATCAAGGAGAAAGCAGGTCACCTTTCCCTGCCTCACACGCTCTCCCTGGATTCGTCGCCTAAAAATACGAGGCTGCCAGTCTTACGCTTTTAAGTGGCCCGAGACTATGAACACAATATATCGATATCTATCTAAAACCGCGGGGGCCTTCTCTCCCTCAGTGGAGCCTGATGTTTGTTCAATCTAGCAGCTACACTTGAAAACCTTGCGCTTCTAGACAAATGTCAGCTGATGTTTGTGAGTAAATAATATAGAGTGCAGAAGGCGCCGTTTGCCTTAGTGCAGATTGTGGGTCAGTTATCAAAGAGGAATGTCTTGTCTTACATCGTCCACGATTCTCAACTCACTCACAATGCTGCATAACACCAGGAAATGTAGAGCACTATGTACAGAAATATCACTTTAAGTTGTGCCGCATGCAACACTCAACTGAAACACAATGTCCAGTACTGTTGGTGGAAAATCGGTTGGTGTTTTTAGATGTGTTCTGTATGTAATAATGCGGTTGGAGACGGAGTTATGCGCTGAAATCGATAATCATAAACTTCATCTATCAAAACGGTTTCCTTCTTATCTAGCGACTTGGATACTGTTATCGAAGTTTTAATTTGCTTTAAAACATTTATGTATTTATTATTATTATTATCAATACAGGGACATTATTTGGTTAATCTTGAGTGAAGCATTTAATTGGCTGATGTGATTTGGTGCCATTTTGCAAGAAAGTTCTTAGTTTATCTAAAAAGTTGTTTTTTTTATTGAATTTTTTTTGCCCTGTAGTTTCTTGTTTTATTTTATTTTTATTTTTATTTTTTTTTATGAAATATGATTTTTGAGTTTTCTTAATAAGGATATTCAGGTCCATTATGGTTTTTATTTCAGTTTGATTTCATTTTAGTGAGAAAGGGATTGAGATGGGTGGTTATTTATGCCAAAGAATCATTACTGTTTGATCTGAAGCAAAGAACTGTATATTTATCTTCCAGAAAGGAGGGTGTCGCATTGGAGTGTGTTGGTGGTGGTGTTGTAATAGAAGAGGTGCAGGGCTCCAGCGGCCGACACAGATCCTTTAGTTTGTTTACATGTGTACTAGCATGGAGCACTGGCTGCGTTTGGTGCCCCTGCTCAGCCTCAGTTCAGGTGGGTTTCAAAAAAGTCAGCCTGGAAAACTTCCTGTCACTATAAAGCCTCAGATATTAACGAACGATGTGCCTATGTTTAAAATGAAGCAATCTTAATTTAATCTTCATATCATTGTAAAAGTCCTCTCTTCAACTATATTTTTTAAAGGAAATGATATAGTTTAATTTGGAGCATTTTCTATCTATTTTATTTTTACGAATGTTTTTTTTTGGTTCATGGCTTCAATTGCTTTGAATATGACATGAATGTATATAGTTGTGAATATAGATAATTGCATAAACAATTGATATGAAAATGCGTTTTCATGTCTGCCCTTCACGTTAAAGAAAAGTCTGAATAATGTAATATATTGTTGTAAGTTTACACTTGATCCTTTTCAATTGATTTGCTACAGTATGTCACGCCAAAAAAATATGCTTTGGGTTGATGCTCATTTGTTTTTAATTAAAAAATTAAGATATGAAAATTTATGTGGCTTTGGATTTGTCTCTCTTGTACAGAAAGTTGGCCAGAAGTCAAAGCTTTAACGTGTTTTTGTTTAATTTAGATAGCATCATACATCATTGTCCAGTGTTTGCACTTTGTCTCTCCAAAAGTTATGGTCAATAAGAATGTCTTCGTACACATTTAAATTAGAATTGTGGAAATCCCCTCATTTACACTGTATGCAAAGTAGGGCTGGGCAATATAGCAAAAAATTTCCATATTGAATGATAACGATATATATTTCAATATTAAGTTGTTAATGCACTGAATAAAATTCAAAGGTAATTCCTTGGCTTACTTTTACGTATTTTTTAAATGGTTGTAAACAATCCATTTGGGCAGAATTTAAACAAACAAATTAGCTTGATTATTACTGAATTTTATTTGTTTGTTTAAATTAAACACATTAAAACATTTTTACAACTTCTTTTTTTCAGTGTGCTTCCAGATTTAAAAGAGTACCCCAACAATGAACAAAGTCACGAAACTTCATTAAATGGCATGGCATATTTTCAGAAGATACATTTTCGGTGGCTGAAAATTCTGTGCATTTCTAATATCAACACACTTTTAGATTCCCATTGTTGCACATTTCTGCTGTGTGATAGGCTCAATTTAGATCAATATAGAGTAAAAAAGTCCAGAGTTTATCATTGTTATTGACATTTATTGCGATTCGATATTATGTTGTTTATCAGCCCAGCCCTAATGCAAAGCTACAAAAATAGGGCAGTGTGCCTACATTAGACATATAATAAATACACAAAGTGTTTTTCTACTATAGCAGTCAATGGTTACAGGTTTACAGGTATCTCTCTTCAAAATACTGTGGTCAACAGAAGAAAGATACTCATAAAGTTTTGGAACTGAGTGTGAGTAAATATTGTCAGTGTGTACTTTTTTGTTAGAACTATTCCTTTAATGTCCATGCACAATGAAAACCAACAACTATAATAATGGCGATAAATATATCAATGAAAAGGCATTTTGTCTACAAATTAAAGTCTACATCATGACAGTAAAAATAGTGGCACAGAGAACATTATTTTCAGAAAATAATTTTCCAAAATATAAAGAGAAAGTAATTGGCCGAGAGAGCACAAATGTTCTGCAACTCATGAATAGAAAAACACTAACAAACTACGAAAACAGCTTACTTTGTTTCATAGATATATACTAGATATCACAAACAGACCCTGAGCATGCGTCAATACCGCCTCCACATTTGCACAGGGCTCCTAGGACAAATGTTATTCAACTGCACTAGTCAAGACTAAAGCCAATCTGAAGATGCTGGACTTTTGTGTTTTAATTTTAATATTTAATTTTTTTATGTTGTTGTATGTAACAAACTTTTGTGCTAAACAAGTAACATTATTGATGATTACTGCACTGATCATAAGAAAAAATAGCACCGACTTCCACTAAATTCTAGGCTTATGTTAGTATTTTTGAATAAAATCAAACGAGACTGTGGGGCCAAAAACTTGTATTCTTGTTGGCTAAGTGAAGTAACAGCTAGTTTTTGAAGTAACTTATATGAGTGCCTGATAACATAACAGTGCCTGCACCTTAATGTGCATAGACATACTGTCCATCCTAAATTATTTATTATTATATATGTTTTATAGCATTTAGATCAGAAAAGTGGATATGCACATTGAGACGCAGGGATATCGATGTTCACACGAGTCGTTCATAACAGAGATTCATTCCCAAACTATTGGCTCCATCCCTTAGCATGAGAAGTGAAAGCAGTAGAGGGGGTGTGCTTCAGGACATGAATTAGATCAAATTTAACAGGGAGGGAGGATAATACATTTCCATGCCCATAAACACATGCTGTTTGTCAGCAGTGCCTGTGTGGTCACTTATCCATCGATGTAGAAAAGTGATGTAAAATGATCATTTTTGTCAATTAGAAAATATCAATTTTTCATACAGATCATACATATATGTAGATAAATCTATGGCTCCGGATGGCCAGTCCTCAATTTCACCTTGGTCCCAAAATCATTTCAAAGAAGCACTACCCTGTACTAAAATGGCAGCTCTATTGAGACATTCCTTCCAATAGACAATAACAGCGTATGTGACATCCAAAATAAATATCTTTGACTTGGTTTGACAACAAACACGCATGTAAATTCTCACAATGTGCAAATACAGAAACACACTGCAAATAATGCAGACCACAAAGTAAAATGTGCCGAGGGACCCCAAAATGTGATTGACCTGCATGCTGAATTGAATAAACTAAATTGTCCGTAGTGTATGTGTGTGAATGAGTATGCATGGATGTTTTCCAGTAGTGGGTTGCAGCTGGAAGGGCATCCGCTGTGTAAAACATATGCTGGATAAGTTGGCGGTTCATTCCGCGATCCCTGATGGATAAAAGGACTGAGCTAAAGGAAAATAACTAAATGAATTTATGTTGAACAAACAGCCATTAAAATGTAGTTGTCACTATCTTTTTTTTAATGATTTGTTTTAAAAAAAATGTTGCTGTAGCTTTGGCCCTCAAAATAAAACAAAAAAAAAACCTATCACCCAGATGATTTAATGGGTTATTTTTGATTAGATGTACTGTTTCATTTTTGCTGCTTAATTAGGACACATTGTCTTATATTTGGAGCTGAATGCATCAAACAATGTTACTAAAATTATATTGAATTCCATTTAATCCAGCTCTTATTAAACATAGCTCTAATTAAAAAAATTCTGCATCAATAAATTCTTTAAAAACCTTGTGGCAACAAACTTTTCCAGCTCTCTTTCCCCCATTTCCATCTGAATATCAACACCATGTACGTCATTGGGGGATCCGGTCGAGTACAGCCAGCAGTCTTGAGGTGTCACGTCTATATGTTTGTTTTGTCTCGGCAAACACATGGATGGATCCTCCCTTTAGTTCTACAAATAGTCCCTCCTATGTCAGCTTTTTCGTCCCTCCTAGGATGTAAACCATCTGCTGTTATCATAACCGTTCGTCTAAATATAGGCTCTCGTTTTCATGTTTCAAACAAACAGTGATAGAGCCACACCCTGACTTTTGAATTGGCTAAACTAATAAATATGGACCACTTTACCTCATAGTACCACCAGTGTTTCTTCCTGTGCATCCCTTCTTTTCTCTCCATTCACAGAAACCCTGAATGACGGATGTGATGATGATGAAGACAGTGATGATTCAGAGGCAGTGTGAGCTGTAGCATCCCCCTCATTCCTTGTGAGTCAGCTCTCCTCACACCTCCTCAAGCCGGACCAGATAAACCCTACTGCTGAGACCCCTGAGAATGATGATGATGATGAAGTCATCCGGTGGGGACGTAAGTTTGAAGAAATATTAATAGCGCGCGACACCCGGATGGCGTTAAACACACTCTTCACACCTTCACCTCCGTTAAAAGTAAAAGGAGGAGAACTAGAAAAGAGGGTGAAAAAAAGGGAGGAAAGTGAAAAACAGAGTACCTGATAATGTGCAGATGCGTTGGTTTTTGGAGAGAAGGTGGGCGGCAGTGATTCAGGCTTCGCTGAAGACGAGTTCGGATTAATGGTGCTTTCACAGCAGATGATTTGTGCTTTGGCTCGGTGTCGTGTTATGCAGGGCTCACACTGTGTGAATGCAGAATGCCTTGTAGTAGGCTACTGTTTGAAAGACCTAGAATTCTCTTCCCGTGGGTTCCCTGTGAATTTACAAATATGTGAATTCTATGGAATATGAAAAATCAGGCCCGTAGCCAGGGGGTTTGGGTGGTTCGAAAGACCCACACACTCACATGGTCTAAAATATGTCCCACACATGAGCTCATTTGTCCTGTTTTGACTGCTATGCCATCATAAATTATGAAAATAACCCCTTGGAAAAAGCTTTAAGACCAAGTGAAATCCTCTGTTGGCTGTTGCTTCGGTGTGACTTCGGCTAATCAGTTCAGGCCCGTAGTCAGCCTATTAAAAGAGGAGCTTTTTGTAGTAATTCGAGGTTCAAACGGTTATCACTACCACACTTTTTGATGCAGCAAAAATACTCTTATTGTTAAAGTGCTTATCATACAGTACATTTTTGTTTACAAAAAGGTTCGTTTATTTACAAGTTGTTACAGTTTTATATATAATGTAAAGACATTACAATTTTAGAAATATGAAAAAATATGTGTTTTTAATGCAAATTTATTATCATCCATCCTAAAAAATACAATAAAATTGGAAATCTGTTCAAACTTGTTTTAAAAGAAAAACATACTTCTAAACTCAAATGTAATCTAAAAGTAATCCAAAAGTAGTCCGAAGGTTATTTATAATAAGTGAGCTTAATTGCATTACTGACTGTACTTTTAAACCTGTAATTTGTAACCAGTAACAGACTACAATATTTAAGAAATTTACAATGCACCTTTTAAACAAGACACATTTTAAGTGGACATTTAGAATATGTCCTTAAGATTTTTATGAGTTTGAAAAACTTTTCAAATATTTTTATCAGATCAACTTTAAAATACATCTTGCAGTCTGTCTGAGTCCAATTGTTGAATCATTTAGCAGTTAAATAGACTAGTTGCTAACAAGTTAGATATAAATAGCTACTGATAACTGTATGTGTTATTTTTTAAATTAAATCTTGCAACGTTAAACACCGTGTATCATCCGTAATTCCACATTTCCCACTAGTCAAATGTATCAGATATCAAAATCGCACTATACAGTATCTGTCTTCATTTGAAGGGAAAATGAGAAACTTCTCATGGATTTCTTCTTTGGATTTAATTGCCTGTCATTATCATTTATAGTAGTTCTAGCATAAGAACTTGTGCAAAACTACAGACAGGCTCATGGACAGAACTGATACATTGTGTTCATTTTTAAGTCTGAAGTCAAGTAAACAATATCTCTGCTCCTGGAGGGCCAGTGTCCACAGTTTAATGCCATCCACTTCCATTTCCAAGCTGTACACACAGATGGATTTTTAATGGACGTCAATAAA